ACGTTTTGCGATAGGCTTCTATAGTAACGTTATATTTAGTTTTCGACAGCCACAGTTTTCGTACACATGGGTACAGCCTGGCCTTTAAACTACAATAAAAGCACAACTTCCCGCTAACTTTCCTAGAACAGGACGCTGAACGCATCAACATGAGTTCCGCACAAAATGTCAGCTATTTGAAAATATCTGTACACACATAAGCATAAGTCATGTTGTTAAAAATGACAGCACTAAATACTTAAAATTGTGGTCAGTTTTAATTACTGGATGGATGTGATTTTAACATAACAAAACATAAACATCTTACACTGTTTAATCCAATCACAACTGTCACATATCTCTATCTCTTCAGTTTTTCACAAACGCACTTGCTCAGCGAGCAGGCAATTAATGATTTAGTGTAGTGGAACCCGGTACCTTTCCCAAGACTGGTAACCTGCTTTTGTCTTCGAGCGCCTGCAGCCAGGTGCGCAAGCGCTCTAGGTCAAACGAACTAGTATACATGTAAGCTAATACATTGGCTGATTTTGATTAATAGGTTACTTAGTTTCATTGTACTTATACAACCGTTCAAGCTGGCTCGAACGGGAACCAGTTTAAATCTTAGCCAGGTTTACCTGCCTGGTCTTCACACGGCCAGTAGCAGTATCCGGTAACCTGTAAAGTGTTCCCTCCTTGTGCCCGTAGCCTGTCACTACCAGCACTCTGTCCCCTCCATACACAGGTAATCTGTCACTAACAGTACACTGTCCCCTTCATACACCGGTAACCTGTTACTAACAGTACACGGTCCCCTCAATACATCATTAAGTTGTCACTACCAGTATATTGTACACCTCAAAATACGAGTAACCCATACCCTCGTTACTACCACTACACTGTACACCTCCATGTACCAGTAACCTGTAAGCCCATCACCTACCAGCACACTGTACCCCTCCCATACACCAGTACACTGTACCCCTCCCATACACCAGTACACTCTATCCCTCCATACAACAGTACACTGCACCCCTCCATACACAAGTACAATGTACCCCTCCATACACTAGCACACTGAACCCCTCCATACACAATTACACTCTACCCCTCCATACTCGAATACAATGTACCCCTCCATACACCAGGACCCTCTACCCCTCAATACACCAGTACACTGTACGCCTCCATACACTCCTACGCTCTACCCCTCCATACACCAGTACACACTACCCCTCCGTACACCAGTACACTGTACTCCTCCATACACTAGTACAATGTACCCCTCCATACACCAGTACACTCTACCCCTCCATACACAAGAACACTGTACCCCTCCATACACCAGTACAATCTACCCCTCCATACACCAGTACACTGTACCCCTCCATTCACCAGTACACTGTACCCCTCCATACACCAGTACACTGTACTCCTCCATACACTAGTACAATGTACCCCTCCATACACCAGTACACTCTACCCCTCCATACACCAGTACACACTACCCCTCCGTACACCAGTACACTGTACTCCTCCATACACTAGTACAATGTACCCCTCCATACACTAGAACACCTACCCCTCCATACACAAGAACACTGTACCCCTCCATACACCAGTACAATCTACCCATCCATACACCAGTACACTCTACCCCTCCATACACAAGAACACTGTACCCCTCCATACACCAGTACAATCTACCCCTCCATACACCAGTACACTGTACCCCTCCATTCACCAGTACACTGTACCCCTCCATACACCAGTACACTGTACTCCTCCATACACTAGTACAATGTACCCCTCCATACACCAGTACGCTCTACCCCTCCATTCACCAATACACTCTACCCCTCCATACACCAGTACACTGTACCCTTCATACACCACTACGTATATACACTGTACCCCTCAATACACTAGTACACTGTACCCCTCCATACACCAATACATTGTACCCCTCCATACACCAGTAGCCTGTACCCCTCCATACACCAGCACACTGTACGCTTCCATACACCAGAACACTGTACCCATCCATACACCAGTACACTCTACCCCTCAATACACCAGTACACTCTACCCCTTCATACACCAGTACACTGTAACCCTCCATACGCCAGTAAACTCTACCTATCCATTCTCAAGTACACTGTACTCCTCCATACACCAGTACACTGTACCCCTCCATACACCAATACACTGTACCCATCCATACACCAGTACACTGTACTCCTCCATACACCAGTACACGGAACCCCTCAATACACCAGTACACTGTACGCCTCCATACACCAGTACACTGTGCGCCTCCATACACCAGTACACTGTACGCCTCCATACACCAGTACACTGTACTACTCCATACACCAATACACTGTACCCATCCATACACCACTACACTGTACTCCTCCATACATCAGTACAATGTACCCCTCCATACGCCAGTAAACTGTACCCCCCCATACACCAGTACACTGTACCCCTCCATACAACAATACACTGTACCCCTCCATACACCACTACACTGTCCCCTATCATACACCAGTAGCCTGTACCCCTCCATACCCCAGCACACTGTACGCCTCCATACACCAGTACACTGTACCCATCCATACACCAGTACACTCTACCCCTCCATACACCAGTACACTGTACTCCTCCATACACCAGTACACTCTACCCTCCATACACCAGTACGCTGTACCTCTCCATACACCAGTACACTGTACGCCTCCATACACCAGTACACTGTATCCCTCAATACACCAGTACACTGTATCCCTCCATACACCAGTACACTGTACCCATCCATACACCAGTACACTGTACCAATCCATACACCAGTACACTGCACCCCTCCATTCTCCAGTACACTGTACCCTTCCATACACCAGTACGCTCTACCCCTCCAAACACCAATACACTCTACCCCTCCATACACCAGTACACTGTACCCTTCATACACCACTACGTATATACACTGTACCCCCAATACACTAGTACACTGTACCCCTCCATACACCAGTAGCCTGTACCCCTCCATACACCAGCACACTGTACGCTTCCATACACCAGAACACTGCACCCATCCATACACCAGTACACTGTACCTTCCATACACCAGTACACTGTACCCCTCCATACACCAGTACACTGTACTCCTCCATACACCAGAACACTGCACCCATCCATACACCAGTACACTGTACCCCTCCATACACCAGTACACTGTTCGCCTCCATACACCAGTACACTGTACTCCTCCATACACCAGTACACTGTACCCCTCCATACACCAGTACACTGTACCCCTTCATACACCAGTACACTGTACCTTCCATACACCAGTACAATGTACTCCTCCATACACCAGTACACTGTACTCCTCGGTACACCAGTACACTGTACCCATCCATTCACCACTACACTGGACCCCTCCATACACCAGTACACTGTACCCCTCCATACACCAGTACACTGTACCCCTCCATACACCAGTACACTGTACCCATCCATTCACCACTACACTGTACCCATCCATTCACCAGTACACTGTACCCATCCATTCACCAGTACACTGTACCCCTCCATACACCAGTATACTGTACCCCTTCATACACCAGTACACTGTACCTTCCATACACCAGTACAATGTACTCCTCCATACACCAGTACACTGTACTCCTCCATACACCAGTACACTGTACCCCTCCATACACCATTACACTGGATCCCTCCATACACCAGTACACTGTACCCCTCCATACACCAGTACACTGTACCCTTCCATACACCAGTACACTGTACCAACCCATTCACCACTACACTCTACTCATCCATACACCAGTACACTGTACCCATCCATACACCAGTACACTGTACCCCTTCATACACCAGTACACTGTACTCCACCATACACCAGTACACTCTACCCATCCATACACCAGTACACTCTACCCATCCATTCACCAGTACACTCTACCCCTCAATACACCAGTACACTGTACGCCTCCATACACCAGTACACTGTGCGCCTCCATACACCAGTACACTGTACGCCTCCATACACCAGTACACTGTACCCTCCATACACCAGTACGCTGTACCTCTCCATACACCAGTACACTGTACCCTCCATACACCAGTACACTGTATCCCTCCATACACCAGTACACTGTACCTTCCATACACCAGTAAACTCTACCCATCCATTCTCAAGTACACTGTACTCCTCATACATGTGAAAATTATAACACACTCTTGCTCCTGTGTCATTTTACAGAAAAATTACAACACTCTATTTGTCTCCAGATATTCATTCTGCATTACCTTTTGTCGATAACTGACTCTGTGTTTCATTTACTGAACATGTATCTACTTTTTGCACCGATTTATAAAACATAGTATCTACCATGACTAAAATATACCGGATGGATTTACGAATAAAGTTCATCCGTTATATATATATATAAATGTATAATGATCTGAAAGTAAGTTGAAGAACTTGAAACTAGTTAGCACCTTTGTAGTACATGTACTTTGTATTGTCAAGTTGAGGAGATCTAGCTGTCACGATGTTTTAAGGGCTGACGTACTAATACAATCGATTGAAGTGCACGTGGAAGTTTTCTCAAACGCCTTAAATCCTTACGCGTATTCAGATTGGTTTCTCGTATTTGATGCACATATCAAGTATTCATCGATGGGGGTACAAGTCTTAATACATGTTATAGATTGATCCGTGTGGTGCCAATGGTGTTCCCTCCATCGATAAATGTGAAATCCGTCCTTTATTCATAACTACTGTTCAGTTTTGCCATTCTCTAACACACTCGATCTAACAAAACCTATTTGAAGTTGTACTTCCTGCTATGATCGCCATTACGCTAGTTTCATTTTTACAGTCACCTACACCACATATATATTCTGTCCTATACGTTCTCGAGTTCAACCGGACATGTAATAGAAATATAGTTTTGATTACAAACAAGCATAAAGGCGTCGACACTTACTGATTGCTTGTATCTTTGGACAATGCGTGGACGAGCCGATAGTCGCGAAAATCAACAACGCAGCTTTGCTATATATAGTTGTGTTTCCGAAGCACTGTTCAGGCTCCTCACAGCGATGTCTAGACTATCGCTTAGTCTCAACATACATATAAGTTTGATGGAAACAAACAATTTCGTACACTTGCAAAGAAAGTGAGTGGGAGATTTCAAACCTAAAGAAACTTACTTCTTTTAACACGCAATGTCTTAAAAGTAAAATGATAGAACAGTTACATCAGTCACTTATTATATCTATTGAACACAAACGCTATATGATTACGGTCTGTCAATAAGCCAGCCTGGACCAGGCAAATATTTGATGGGCATCTTGAGCATCGATCTTCGCATCAACCAAGTCCCTGACCGCCCGGCTCAAGTATTATTATTATAGTATATTTATATAGCGCACATATCCAGGCAATTGGTGCTTGCTCAAGGCGCTGGTATAACTCCCTCGATCATTGGATGTCAGTCTTAACGGCACATCCTACTATCAATCTCAACTCCCTGGGGACCATACAACTATTGCAGCCACTAGGCGCACCGAGTTATTGTGGCCTTCTCATTCTAACGGTGTACCCATTCACAGCTGGGTGAACTGGGACACATAGTCACAGTACTTTGTCCAAGTTGACTGCACGTTGCTGTACCCGCAATTTGGTGTTTGCATGTATTCATTTGGCCACCATCTGGACATATGCCAACGGATTCGTGGGTTCTTTTAAGTGCACAGGGATGTGTACTGTACACTAGGGGCTGTGACAACACTGAAAGAGTCTGCACACAAAGTTGACGCCGAGATGTTTACACCCAGCCACAAGTGGGCTTGATCCCGACACCTCAAGCTCGCTGGATCACTAGCCTAGCACCTTAGCCAGCTCGGCCACCGCGCCCCAAGTAGCCCCTTTTACGACAAGCATGGGTGTCTGAAGACCAATCTTCACAGGTGAACTAAATATGTTTTTAACTTCTTGATTTAGTTAGCGTTTATTTTTATCTGATTTCTGTCCAGAAGCATACTGGTACGCCGATTCAGGGCAGCACGCTGGAACTGGTAAGGTCGTGGGAGAATACAGTTGTTATCTTATTCAGAACTTCAAAGTTTTTGTCACTTAAGAATCACCGTGAACATATCAAATTCAAACATAATTAGCCACATTGTGGAGTTACCTCTATGAAATAAATAATACATTCAGACACATTGCTACTTTGCTCCAAGGGCAGCGACAGCTCCTGGACTCAGTAAATCGGTTACGACAACACCTTACTTTGGTGTGGTTTGGTTGTTTAACGCCACACTCGACATCATTCCAACTGGCTGTAATGGCTATATGCAAATAGTCGAGTCTGGACCAGACAATCCAGTGGTCAATAGTATGATCATGGATCTACACTCTTGGGATGCAATGCCATGTGCCAACCAAGTCAGTGAGCCTGACCACCTGGTCCGTTAGTCGCCTCTTTCGACAAGCATGGGTTGATGAAGACCATTTCTAACGAGATCTTCACGCGTTGACAAAACCTTGAGCACCCGCACTTGTATAAAGGGTTACTTCGAAAGGAACTTGTCATGTTTATAGATGGTAAATCATCTGAATACGCTTTAGTAATACCACCTATCGCATATTGATGGCAATGAGATTGCTGTGATTGCTGCTGCAGGAAACACATTTGAAACCTTGGAAACAGAAGCATTTCTAGTCTCAATGTTTCAACTTGAATGATTATTTTAGACCATGGTACGAGAATGCGTGGTCTCCATTACATATGACACGGGGCCAAAGTACATATTCACGCCTGTCAATGTCTCAGTCAACGAAGTGCTCTTAAAACGCTGCCAGAACAATCCTAGGCTCAAATCAATAGCAATAGGCCTAAATAGGCATATCTTCAAAGGTGAAAGTGTATTCTCCTTCAAGAAACATCATCAAATATGTTCACGGCACAGCTGAACTCGCGTAACTAAGAAACCTAATGGACATGACTTAATTCTGTGTCGATTTCTGAAAACTTTGATCCAAATATGATTGTTTCTTTAACCAGACAAATAACATGGAATCACTTGCTTATTCATATTCACAAGACACGCAAAGTTTATTAAATGCGAATACATTAAAAACAATAAATGAAACATATTTAAACAGACGTTTCTTTGGAATGTACCAGAACATATAACGTACTTACCAGCGATGAACATCAGAGTGAGAAACAGAAATACGTGCACGTGGTTTCTGTTTAGAGCCATTTTCATAAAACTGAAAAGAGAAATACTTTGTGATATCACTGTTTTTCTCCCTAAACTTCTAGATATTAAAGATATGATTAGTCATCTTTAACTCAGCTGGGAATCAAACCCTGGTCATCGGTGAGACGTGCTAACGCTTTAGACACTAGGTTCATCAACTGTTCCTTAAAAAACAAGAACTACCATTACATCAGCGCTTTTGTGGATATGATAAATATTTTGGAGCACAAACGTCTGATGCAATACTTGTTATCAATTCTTGATGGCATACATAAACGTGAATCTTACTAAAAATTGAAAGCACATTAGCACATATGTAATGTAATCTGGACGTGATGCATAACACTTCTGCTAATCATGTATGCTACATGAATATTCATAAATAAAAGACGATATCACTCGCTACGTGTTGTGATCGAGACAACTTCAGGTTAAAACATCACCGGGTAATTATAAACCAAAGTAGTCCAGGAACACAACATTATAAAGGAGGCGGTTATAGTGTAAAATACTCACGGGCGCAAGAAACGTCACCTCGCTTTTGTAACAAAACAGCAAACTCGGAGCCTGGAAATTTAAGAATCATATTTGGAAAATTAATGGATTTACAACATTCCGAATGATGAAAGTGTGAACTACAGATATAAATAATCACTTAGTGTACCTCCGCCAGTCTCACCACAGCCACAACAATTCAAACCTATCCACTACATACAAACCACGAACAAATAAATCTGCAATCTAACGTGTTTATGATGTCTTTCAGTGGCATTTAGAAGTTGTACAGTGATGTCCAAGATATTTTTACCTCATGCTCGTACCCGTGATATAATCCCAGTCGTTACCCGTCCTTTATAATTGCGTTTCAAAACCAAGTTTAACGCCCTCGCTGTAACCTTTGTGTAATTAGCTGTTGTTGTGTATTGACAATTCAACTTTCAACTCTATTATTTAGCATGAATTTCATCATTATGTAACTAGCTCACTTATACAGTACTCTCCCTAGTGTACTGTGATGTCACTTGCATTGTGACGTCATAACTCAGTAATGACGTCATAGTGACGACGTCATAGTCCTAACTGCCAGTTCACCTGATGAAGGGACCTGGAATGGTCTCGAAACGTTGTGAGAGAAATTAAAAAGAAGTTTAATCCATAAAATATCTTGGACTTAACGTGTTTATGTTTTGATTGTTTACTTGATGAAGGTTTCAAGTTTCTTGTTAGGTGTTTAAAGAGTGTGAAACTACTTCAACTTCTTATATAAACTATACATTCATTTGGTAAATGAGACAATTCAAGGAGAGACTAAAACGCTATTGGAATTATAGTATTGTAATAGTTGGTTGCAGTAGACCATCCTTATCGCAATAATTGTTTCCCTCAATAGTCACCACTAAAAGCTACATACCCGTGTTGCATACTCTATAACATACACATCCATTCTACATACACATGCAAGATATCTGTGTTATACACCCACGTCACATACACATGCAACATATCCGTGTTATGCACCCACGTCACATACACATACAACATATCCGCATTAGACACCCACGTCACATACATATGCAACATATCCGTGTGGTACACCCACGTCACATACTTATGCAACATAACCGTGTATTACAAACATGTCACATACATATGCAACATAACCGTGTTATACACCCACGTCACATACACATGTAACATATCTGTGTTATACACCCACGTCATTTACACATGCAACATAACCGTGTTATACACCCACGTGACATACACATGCATAATAACCGTGTTATACACCCACGTCATATACAAATGCAACATATGCGTGTTATACACCCACGTCAAAAACACATATCAGTGTTATACACCGACGTAACATACACATGCAACATAACCGTGTTATAGACCCACGTGACATACAAATGCAACATATCCATGTTGTACACCCACGACACATAAACATGCAACATATCCATGTTATAAACCCACGTCACATAAAAATGCAACATATCCATGTTATACACCCACGTCACATAAACATGCAACAAATCCATGTTATACACCCACGTCACATACACATGCAACATATCCATGTTATACACCCACGTCACATAAACATGCAACATATCCGTGTTATACACCCACGTCACATAAAAATGCAACATATCCATGTTATACACCCACGTCACATAAACATGCAACATATCCATGTTATACACCCACGTCACATAAAAATGCAACATATCCGTGTTATACACCCACGTCACATGAACATGCAACATATTCGTGTTATACACCCACGTCACATAAAAATGCAACATATCCATGTTATACACCCACGTCACATAAACATGCAACATATCCATGTTATACACCCACGTCACATAAAAATGCAACATATCCGTGTTATACACCCACGTCACATGAACATGCAACATATTCGTGTTATACACCCACGTCACATAAAAATGCAACATATCCATGTTATACACCCACGTCACATAAAAATGCAACATAACCGTGTTATACACCCACGTCACATACACATGCAACATATCCATGTTATACACCCACGTCACATAAACATGCAACATAACCGTGTTATACACCCACGTCACATAAACATGCAACATATCCGTGTTATACACCCACGTCACATAAAAATGCAACATATCCATGTTATACACCCACGTCACATAAACATGCAACATATCCATGTTATACACCCACGTCACATAAAAATGCAACATATCCGTGTTATACACCCACGTCACATAAAAATGCAACATATCCATGTTATACACC